GCTTGCAGGGACATGATTGCTGCCCGATGCTCTTTAACTGTGATGACCGTGGCTTGCTGACCTTCATTTCCAAACTAGACATTCCCAAACAGAGCATCCAGCGCAATATTTCCGCCATGGAACGCTTTCGAAACATGGATAAAAGAGCCACCACGGAAGATCGTAACACTACCTTGGAGACACTGCACCAAAACAGTATAACGTGAGTGTCTTGGCAGTCAAAATGAGGGGAAGGGGCTTTCTTTCAAGCTCCTTTGCGAGTGTGAATTTGCCCTASTAGCTATCAATTCCTGCAGCTTGCATGGAAACTTGTAAAATTAATCATTAACGCTGCATTCCTGCAGTCTCTGTTTGCTTGTGCTTAATGTGTTCAGCAACTTGAACATTGCCAATCTCACCAAATACGTAGAGAGCTGACAAAATCCAGGCAGCCGACTTCACCTGAAACAAGCATGTGTACCAACTTACTATTTCAGATATTACGTGCGTGTGTGTGTGTGTGTGTGAGTGATTCTGGTTAATCATATAAAATATTACATTTGAAAGAGCCCAGGAGATGTTAACATTTCTGGAGCAATTTGCTTTTATCCAGGAAATGTTTAGACTACAACCACCACACGCTGAAAGAGCTTTTGGCATCCTTCTCTTTGCTTACTTTTCTGAAGCACTGCACCAAAAATCTAGCATAAAATATGCTGTCCTCATGTCTCTCTTTAGGAGAGTGGGAGTTGAATTCTGCCCAAATTTCCCTGCTTCCTGGCGCTCTGGAATGGGTGTCTGTCTTACAGCTATCACTCTCTGTTTTCAGCCAAGTGTCTATTTATGAGATAGACAAAAGAGATTGTCGTAAGTTCTGCACCACTGGCATTGATGGAGCGATGACCATCTGGGATTTCAAGGTAGGCTGCTGCTGCTGTGTTTGTGGCCTGCACGTGCTCCTGGTTTTGTTCATCTCTTGCCTCAGCTGCTGGGGCTCAGCCCCAATGCAAGTTGTATTAGCACAAGRAAATCTGGGATATTCAAGACCATTAGCAAGCTCCATAAGGAAGACAGATTTAAGGTTTAGCATGAATACAGATAGACTTTGCTTAGCAGATGGTCATAATCCACACAATTTTTTAATTGGATCACTTACATTCCTGTAGGAATCCTGCTAATTCTTTCCGTTTTATGACCTCTATCATGTCCACAGTGAGGCTAGAATGATCACTGGTGCAGCAAGACCTGCTCCCCCTTCTTGCTCCTATGCCTTTGAACTCCCTGTCTGTCTTAAGAACAGAGTCGTACACTCCATTAATTAACAGAAATAGTAAGAATTTACCTAAAACAATTAAGAAATACTGTAAGGGGTGCAAGAAGGCACCCAGACGCTTGCCTTGTTAGGACTGACCAACAGAGGTCTCTACTCACCTGCCAAGCTTTGCTTACAAACCTGCATGTGTCTTTAGGGGAAGAATTTGTACTCCAGTAATGCCTGAAAGCAGGGACAGAGACTAAGAAAGAAGCTGAAATTATAAAGTGCTTTAGTGCAGTTTCTGGGGAAAAGGAGGGGAAATTGTATGCCTATCTAGGTGGGAGTTTGGAATGAATAATCATAGTGGTCTCTGGTTACACGTCTCAACGACCCTCTTYGTTTTGTTCCTCTTTTAATGTCAACCTTTTCAAGGAATTGTTTAATATAGGATWTGGTAGCAGTTTGTGATTAAGATTTTCTCTCTTTCAAGACCTTAGAGTCCTCTATTCAGGGTCTACGAATCATGTAGAGATGGATTTCCGTGATCTAGCAGGGCAGACTGCTTGACCGAATGCAGCTCCCACATCTGCACAGACTCAAAAAGGGAGGAAGAAGGCGGAATATTTGGAAACACTGAGAAAATACAGCTTGGCAGATTTTCTTTTGAATCTAAATTTGGTGAATTGTGTTGGTTTCAAAATCAGCTGTGATTGTTCCTTTTATTTTATTTTATTTTTTTTTGGTTGGTTGTTTCATTCCATTCTTTACCAAAGCTGCTCCTTAAGTAGTTTATTGCAGGAAGTTATGAATCACTAACTTAAAAGGGGAATTTTATGTAAATTGTCTGCTAGAAATAATAATAATAATAATAAAGGAAAAAACAGATTGTTTGGTGTTTTGATTCTTATTGACGGTTTGAAAAAGGAATACTGTGGGAAGAAAACCAGATAAATAGAGCAGAAATGCCTGAACTGCTTTTTCTGGCCTCAAAAGGGGAAGAGTTCATCTTAACTGAAAGTTCACAAATGAAGATGAACCAGCTAGACTTCTTTTAGGGAAATTACTCCCTTGGAGAATGTGGCAATTTTGGATGATGTGTGATTTTTGTCCTACTGACTTCTAATTCTGCCTGCCTGCCAYTGAATCCAGTAATCTAGCAAGAATAGCAAATTAAACTGAATGTCTTTTTCATTCAGTCTGGCGGCTCGTAGTTCTCTGAAGGCAAATGACCAGGATCGTTTGTAGTTGGTTTTATGATCTGTGCAGAGGCTCCTCATTGTGCAGTGCAGAATGGGAGAGGGTGGGCACAAAGCGAGGCAAAAATTTGCACAGCCAAATCGTAGCRGGATAAATTAGAAAAGTCATTTTTAAAACACACAGGCCTGCATGTCTTATTAGAGCTGAGTGTTCTGTAAATAAAACTCTCTGTTTGTAAYGACCAGGAAGAAATCAAGTACATCTTACCGGAGCGAAGAGCACGCCGTGGCTTCAGCCCGTCCTCTCCAGGTGCCTGCATCTTTTCAAGTTTAATTCTGAGCCTTGGTCACTCACGAGGCACTTGCAAATTATTTATTTGAATCAGACGCTCCCATCACGATAAAGTTTGTTGCTGCCTTGGGGCTTGATCCAGGCTGTGCTCTGGAGAGAGTTATCTGGCTCGGGGTTATCTYGCTGCATGAAGCTTGAGACTTTTTTGTTTCATTTTTGCAAATGCAGAAGTGTCTTAAAAAAAAAACAACGTCTAAATTTACCACTTCCTCTGCAACCAGAATGTTTCTTCAGCTCTGGGTGGTTGAAGAGGGATGGTGAGAGAGCAGCCCATAAAGCCAACAAGTTCTGTTGTATTTCTTTGAGTGAACAATGTCCATCAGAGGACCATTTACAGGGGAAAAGCTGGCTGAATGCAGGGAATTGGCTGTTTTTTCAGTTCCTCCTAGTTTGATTTTGTCTTTGCCTTTCTTCCTCTGGCACTCRAGGGTGGTTTTTCAGTTTCCCCTCCCTTCTAAACATAAAATGATGACTGTTTCACCTCTTACTCATCATCTAGTGCTCTGTGTATGACTTTTACAATGAGGATGGGTTTATTAGCTCAGATATAATGTCATGCTGATGTAGTTAAATGTCTTCTGGATCAAAATGTCACTGTCAGCCTATGTGGAGGAGGGACAGAGCAGCTTGGATTTGTTTCTGTCCTGGTGTGCAGGCGTGTTATTACATGCTCATATCTCAGAAACTTAGGATTTGATTTCTGAAGTTGCTCTGAAAACGGGATGCTTTATTTGARGAAAGAAAAATGTTTAAAATGTATGGCCCAAAGAGTGCAGAAAATAAAAGTCTTTGTGCTGTTTCTGCATTAGAGATCTAGGGAAGGTAGAATGGCTGTTGGGAGCAAAAAGGCTCAACAAAGTGACGTTCAAAAGAGAAATGTCCATGCGAGAAGTTTGGGATTGCAGACAGATAAGGTGCATCTATCTGGGAAGGAAGGGAGGAGGGGGAATAAAAACCTCATTCCCGGATTCCCCGGCCATTTATCCCACTGGGAATGGCCTTCTGCTGCCTCCAGCTCCCGCGCCCCTCGGAGGTAGGTGCCGTGCTGGGCTTGTGCTGTGGCCGGTGCCACCTCCGCGTGTCCTGCCCGGCTCTCCCGGGGCCCTGTCCTGCTTTGGAGAAGCCCTCGCTGCTCTCCGGCCGCTCCGCGCTGGGACAGGAGCCGCCCCAGGAGCAGCCRGAGAGCAGCAGCAAGGAGGAAAGGCAGGAGCAGGTCAGGAACCGCTCTGCAGGCTGCTGGGGGTGATGCTCTTCGCTCCCTAAAACTGGGATTCCTGGCACGGAAGCTAAGCCGCCGTACCCCTCGTTTGCCTCCCTGGAAGCAGGGCTGGGATCCCACAGGAGCAATGGGCAGGTGAGGGGTCCGGGCTGCGTCCTGCGCCGCACAGGACAGCTCCGTGCTCGGCTCAGCGGCGGCGCGGGACGGGGGACAGGGGGGACAGGGGGGACAGGGGCATCTCCCCATCCCTGGGAGTAGCAGGGCTGCTCGGAGAGGGGCCGACGGTCCCCTGGGCCGGCTGGGACTGCAGGAGCAGGAGGGAGGCGAGTTCCCGGCTCCGTGCCACCCCTCGGAGCCTTTCTCCAGGACCGAACCCCTAACCTGGGAATGTATTCTGGAGCTTAACCTGTAGGGGCCCCTTGTATCCAAATCCCGYGGCTGAGAAACCCCCTCGGGGCCTGTCCTTGCTGTGGGAGCCCCAAGCCGAGCTCGGGCGCCGCTGTCGCCGTTCGGGGCTGGGACGGTCCCTCCGGAGCTTCCCACCGCGCTGAGCAGCCATGAACGGATCTGGGGGTCCCCACCCTGTCCCCTCTCCCGCCCTTAACCCTTGGAGTTACTGGGATAAAAAACGGGTTGCTCCAAAGGCTGCAGCAGGATGCGCCACGGATGCGGGGGAAGCATCCGGAGCAGGAGAGCCTGGAAGCGGGAGCAGTCGCCGCTCAGCCTGGCTGGATCCCAATGCATCCCTGTGATCCAAGGCCGAGCGGCGGGGGAACAACCCGTCCTTGGCACCACGAGCGAGGGGCACGTGGAGGCGGAGGGGGGTTACGGCCCCGTTGGGAGCCCGCGGGGCTGCGGGCGCGCGCAGGGGCAGGGCGGCYGCTCCGCGCTCCCCCAACGCCCACGTAAGGAAGTGGTTGCGTTTCTCGGAGAGGAAAAGGGAAGTGGGGCTGCCTGCGCGAGCCAGCGGAGCCGCCGGAGCTGCCGGAGCCGCCCCGGGCCGGGAAGGGGTCCCTGCTGCCAGGTAAGAGCCCGGGGGGCTGCGGCGCCCGCGCGGGATCCCYGCTGCCCCGAGGGAGCCAGGGCAGGGAGCTCAGCATGCGAAAAAGAAAAGCAAAAGAAAAGGCAAAACAGAAAAGCAGGAGGGAAAAAAAGCAACTTTTTTTGTGCGGGGTGATGAGGCCGCCCCGCGGGGCTGCGGGACGGGGCGGCTTCGCGCGCGGGAGGTGCCGGGGGCTCCGTCGCCCCCGCGCTCCGGCCACCTCCTCCCGGGTCTCTCGGACACTTGGCGCTTTCCGCCCCGGCCTGAGGCCCCGGAGCGCCTGGAGCGCCGCTGCTTTGGGAGCGCTCCGGCGGYGGGGATGCCGCGGGGCCGGGATGGGGAGCCCTGCTGGGAAGGGGGTGTGAGGAAGAGGAGGGTCGGCACCCCYGCAGCCCCCTCGAACCCCTGCGGCCCCCTCGTCCCTGCTCAGCCTGGGTGCAGATGCAGGAGGAGCATCTCCCGCGCGGGCGGCGGCAGCCGGGACTGAGCGATGCCCGAGGCTTCGGCACCGCCAACCCGGGCCAACCCGGGCCAACCCCGGCACCGCCAACCCGGGCCAACCCAGACCAGCCCGGGCCAACCCCGGCACCGCCAACCCGGGCCAACCCGGACTAACCCGGGCCAACCCCGGCACCACCAACCCGGGCCACCCCGGGGGCCGGCGCCGAACGCGGCTCCCCCCGCGCAGCCGCTTCCTCCTGGGCCGGGGAGGCGGCGCGGGGCCCCCCTCGCGCCGGGGCTTTATGGGCGCCTCCGGGGCTGCTCCGAGGGGCCGGAGGGGCCGGCGGGCGGATCGCCCGGCTGTGCCCGGCCCTGCGCCCCTTTTCCAAGCGCCGTTCCCCGCTGGAGCCGACGGCCTCCGCCCTGCGCGCGGTTCTTGGCAGGAAGGGGCTGTGTCCCTTCGCTCCCGGAGCCGCTGCCCTGCTCCTTCCCTGCAGCGCCCGGGCATCCTTCCTAGGGACGTGAGGGGGACTGGATCCATTAAAGGGRTATGAGGGGGACTGGATCCATCCTATGGATATCAGTGGGACTGGATCCTTCCAAGGGGCATTAGTGGGGCTGGATCCTTCCTAGAGGTATTAGCCAATCTGGATCCTTCYTAGGGGCATTAGTGGGACTGGATCCATCCTAAGGGCAGCTGTAGGGACTTAGTGACATTACGGAGTCGCGGGGAGCTGGGTGCTGCCGAGTGATGTTCCCAGCAGCGCGGGAGGTTGTTGTCAGCTCCTGGGGATACTGCCCAGCACTGGCCGCGTGTGCCCCACAGCGGGTCCCCCTGTGCCCCACAGCGGGTCCCCTGTCCCCATTGGGGCTAACAGGTCCCCGTGGGGGCTGGTGCGGGACTAACAGGTCCCCAGGCTCAGGCTGGCGCGGTGGCTTTGGCACCGAGCGCTGCTGCGGAGGGCGGCGAGCAAAGCTCCATGAATCCCGGCCTTGTTCAGGGATGGGCGGCCACGTCCACGCCCGGGAGAGCCGGGACGGGCAGAGGGATTTGGGGCCCTCGCGGGATTCCCGCTGCCCACCAGGGCTCCTGTGTATAAAACGCGGGTGACAGAGCCGAGCAGGGTCCCGTTCCGCCGGCGCGGGTGGCAGGGGCTGCGCAGGGACCTGCTTTCCTTGCAACCTTTGGAGCTGCCAAGGAAAACGGGCAACATCCTGTTCCTTCCCAAAACACCCAAGTGCCAAAGGCGCTGACTAATCCCGGCCATCCCGCCCGGCGCGGAGAGCGGTGCTTCCCGAGCCCCGCGCCGCTCCGGGCCCAAGGCCGCCCGGTCCCAACYGGAGCGGCCGGATGGGGGGGACGGAGAAGGGGAGGCGGCCGGGGCCGAGGGGCGGCAGCGGCGCTGGGCTCGGCCATGGAAGGGATTAGTCACCTTGGGAGCACCGTGGGGACGGCGCTGGGGTCCCCTGCGGGATGCGGGCTCGGAGCCGCCTGGCCCGGCTGCTCCTGACCTTGGAGCCTGGATGTGCTCTGGGAACGGCCRTTCCCGGGCAGGCTCCAGCCTGGGCTCGCTGGCTGACTGGGAGCGCTGGTGGGACGGGCGGGTTGTCCCTCCTCATCCTCACGGCTGCTCCGTCCGCCCCGTCCCAGCCGCAGCCGAGGAGCCATGGCCTATCACAGCTTCCTSCTGGAGCCCATCAGCTGCCATGCCTGGAACAAGGACCGGACCCGTGAGTACGGCCGGGGGGCCCGGGCGACCCCGCAGGGAGGCTCAGGGACGGGGCGGCCGCCYGGGCGCGTTGCAGGGATGCAGCCCCACGGGCGGGAGGGACCGGAGCCGCTCCGGGGCCGGCGGAGCCGGGCGGGAACGGAGCGGGCTGTTCCCGCGGGCGCTGAGTGCCGCGGGGCCCCGCAGAGCTGGCGCTGTGCCCCAACAACCACGAGGTGCACATCTACCGCAAGGAGGGCGGCCGCTGGAGCAAGGCGCACGAGCTCAAGGAGCACAACGGGCAGGTGACCGGTGAGCCCCGGCGCGGCCGACGGACGGACGGACGGACGGACGCGCGGTCCCCCCCGCCCCGTCCCAGCGCCCGCCCGTCCCCGCAGGCATCGACTGGGCGCCCGAGAGCAACCGGCTGGTGACGTGCGGCACCGACCGCAACGCCTACGTGTGGACGCTGAAGGGCAACGCGTGGAAGCCCACGCTGGTGATCCTGCGCATCAACCGCGCCGCCCGCTGCGTCAAGTGGTCCCCCAAGGAGAACAAGTTCGCCGTGGGCAGCGGCTCCCGCCTCATCTCCATCTGCTACTTCGAGCAGGAGAATGACTGGTGAGAGGCCGGGAGCGTGTCCCGGGGTGGATGGAGGAGACGGGGATGGAGGGGTGGGGAGAGGGGATGGGTGGGGAGAGCGCAGAGGGGAGGAGAAATGGGACAGGAGGTGGGATTTGGGGGAGATGGAGGGGAGATGTGGGGGGGGGGGGGGGGAGAGGGGATGGGTGGGGAGAGCGCAGAGGGGAGGAGAAATGGGACAGGAGGTGGGATTTGGGGGAGATGGAGGGGAGATGTGAGGGAAGGGCTGGGGAGATGGAGGAGGAGGAGATGGAGGAGGAGGTTGGGAAGGTGGAGGGGAGATGGAGGGGGAGATGTCGGAGGGGGAGATGGGGGCAATGGAGGGGGAGATGGGGGAGATGGAGCAGGAGTTGCAGGAGATGGAGGTGAGACGGGAGACACTGGGGGAACCGGAGGGGGCAGACGCTGCAGGAAGGGGCAGATGGGGGTAGACGGGGGTGGTGCCGGGGGGCAGCACCCCACACCCCGCGCGGCCCCCCAGGTGGGTGTGCAAGCACATCAAGAAGCCCATCCGCTCCACGGTGCTGAGCCTCGACTGGCACCCCAACAACGTCCTGCTGGCCGCCGGCTCCTGCGACTTCAAGTGCCGGTGAGGGGCCGGGGGTACGTGGGGGGTATGTGGGGCGYGCGGGGCCCCTGCGGCAGCCCCCGCTCCGTGTCCATCCCACCACCAGGATCTTCTCGGCCTACATCAAGGAGGTGGAGGAGCGGCCCAGCCCCACGCCCTGGGGCTCCAAGATGCCCTTCGGGGAGCTGCTCTTCGAGTCGGGCAGCGGCTGCGGCTGGGTGCACAGCATCTGCTTCTCGGCCAGCGGCGCCCGCGTCGCCTGGGTGGCCCACGACAGCACCGTGAGCGTGGCCGACGCCGACCGCAGGATGGCGTGAGTGGGGCYGGGGCGGGCGCCGCRCGCGCGGSCGGGCGCCCGCGGCGAGGCCAACRCGGCCTGTGCCCCGCAGCGTGGCCTCCCTCTGCACCGAGACCCTGCCGCTGCTGGCCGTCACCTTCATCACCGAGAACAGCCTGGTGGCCGCCGTGAGTCGGGGACGGGGGTGGCCGCGGCGCTGAGCCGGGCGGCCACGGGGCTTGATGCTCCGCGCGCCTTCTGCAGGGCCACGACTGCTGCCCCATGCTCTTCACCTACGAGGAGGGCCAGGGCGCGCTGCGCTTCGCGGGCAAGCTGGACGTGCCCAAGCAGAGCTCGCAGCGCGGCCTCACCGCCCGCGAGCGCTTCCAGAACCTGGACAAGAAGGCGAGCTCGGACGCGGCCAACGCGGCGCTCGACACGCTGCACAAGAACAGCATCAGGTGCCGCCCGCGCCCRGGGGCGGTGGCGGGTGGTAATGGGGGAAACGCAGCGGAGCCCCCCGGGCCTGGGGACTGAGCCCCCTCTTTGCCCCCCGCAGCCAGATCTCGGTGCTGGCGGGCGGGAAGGCCAAGTGCTCCCAGTTCTGCACCACGGGCATGGACGGCGGCATGAGCATCTGGGACGTGAAGGTAGGCGGCCCCGCGGCCTTCCTCCGGCACCGCTTCCAGGCCCGGACCGACCTCTTCTCCTCTTCTTCCTCCTCCAGAGCCTGGAGTCCGCCCTGAAGGACCTCAAGATCAAGTGAAGGAGGCGGCTGCTCCCGGCGCTCCCGGCCTCCCTCTCCCCGGCGGATCCTGCTTGCTCCCTTCCCGCGACACCCTGCGCTCCAGGCCCTGCTGGCGTCAGCGGCACCTGGCGCTGGGGGTGACGCCGAGACAAAGGAAAAAGAATGTTTTTTTAACTATTTTTGTTACCATTGCGCCTGATGCTGGTCATACTTTGCTTATAGAAATGGAGAATAAAGGAAGGATTTTTCCCCATGTAAATCTGTTTTTTAGATTTATTTATTGGGGAGAGGGGAAGAGCCTAAGGTGAACAAGTGTGTGAGCACTGCGAATGTTGCCCGGTGTCACAGCAAGTGTTTCTGCAAGGGAAATCCCACCTTTAGCACCACAAAGCAGGAAGAATCTGTCCTGCACAAGGTGGTTCCTCCTCCAGGGGCCCGGGCTCCCCAGGCAGCTYGGGCTAAACGCTGCTCCTGCCGACATTCCTCGCTGTGGATCRGGCCTTACCGGGCCGCTTGCTCCAAGCCAGGCGCGAGCGGCTCCTTCACACCAAACAGGCACAGCTTCTGTCACCCTGCATCTCCACAAAGCTCCGTTGCTGTGGGAAGTGCTGCTGGTGACTCCTGGGGAGCTCCTTCCTCACCCGCCTTCACCCTGCTTGGTTCTCGGCGTTAACTAAGGCCTAGGCCGAGCGCAGGAGGCGCCGGGGCCTGCGGCGCAGGGCAGGGGCTGCAGGGACTCGCGGCCCTACAACAGAGCCAGGGAGGCTGCCGGSTTCAGCGCTGGGGCTTCCGACAGCAACAAGGTTGGAAAGCGGCCTGGAGCCAAGCGCCTCCGTGCCCAGACCCTGAGAGAGCAGCAGCAGCTTCTCACCTTGAGGAGCTCCGGCCCTCGAGCCACACGAGCAGCAAAGCGGAGGTCACCGCAGCACGGGACCGCGGCCGCGTCTCCGGCCTCGGCCTCCGCGCCCGTTTAACACACACGCAGGAGACAAGGACACAGCGGTTACGATAATTTACGTTTTAATCGGCCAAATATACAAGTTGTGTTTTTTGAGCGTTATCGATAGGTTTTTTTTTTCTTCCGTCTGGGTCTGGTACATTTAATGTTTTCGTTGTTTTTTTCCTTTAAACAAAGGGTGATGTGGTTAAAAAATGGCACTATCCCTAATCAGGAGAAGGGAAAAAAAATAGTGAAGAGGAGGGAAAAGGGAAGATTGGCTGCAAGAGAGGAGGGATGAAAGCGGGAAGGAAGAGCACTCCCGATGCCCATGAAGTCGGGCTCCCAGCTCACACTGCCACAGCCTGCAGCTCAACTTTACGGGCATCTGCCCAGAAGGTTTCCTCAGATACGGTCCCCTTTGGGCTCTCACTAGCAAGTCAAAGGTCCCACCCCAAGCCCCACCCCACAATGACCCCACAGTCTAGTTTCTTGCAATCTAATATTTGAAGCATCTCCCCTCCCGCCCTGCCCCCTGTCTATGAGTTCTTAACCCTAAAAACAGCAAGAACATTCAGGTTTCCAAACTGTTACAGAGAATTGCTGTTCAGCACAGTTCTGCACCAAAGATAGCAGCTGCCCCTAACCCCAAAATGGAAATCTGTGCCAGGATGAAGACAAAACACATCGTCAGTGTCTCTTGGAGGTGAAGGTGACTTCGATGCCACAGTACATCCCATGTGGCATCGATGGTATGCAACACAACAGAGTTCCTGGCAGGCACCAGGCACAGTTCCCTGGCGTTTCSTCCTCTTGCATGTCCTGGGCTTACTTGTTAAGGGATAGTGACTGCAGTCTTTTACCTGCCATAGCCGCTTCGTCTTTCGCTGGAGGGGGAAAAGAAAGAGGTGTCGTCATTTCAGGGTGCACGTCAGGGGCTGGGGTTGGCTTCACAGAAATCCTGCTAGCCAGAGAGGGACGTCAGGGGAAAGAATCTGTCCCTCTCTAACCACATCCAGTGAGCACCAGAACTCACTAAACCCCTGAGCCAGAGCCAGCACTGCCTGCGAGGCTGAGAAAAAGGAGCATCGGGAGCAATTCCCTTCTCTTTGGCTTCTCCCTTTTCCCAAACTTTAAAGCCTCCAAACTTTATAAAGCAACAGCTCTGCAGAAATGAAAGAGCCAAACCTGGTTTTGAAGAGGGGAGCTGTAATGACAAACAGCAGCACCCAAGAGTCTCAAGAGGGGAGGTTGCTACACGCAGTAGCAGAGATCATGGCAGTACAGCCATTGCCAAAGGGAGGCAAAAGGTTGTGATTTATTATTGTCCTACCTTTTCTTTCCTCCTCTTTCTTCCTGGCAGCTTCTTCCCTTTGCTTCCGAATGATGGCTAGTCGGGCGAGATCTGCCTTCGCTTGCTCTGTTTTGCCAGCTAGGTGCATTTTCATGTACCTCTCTTTCGCCTTCTGTTTCTCTATTTCTTCTCTGTTTGAGTGAAACACCCCAGTCATCACAGTACCCAAGTGAGCAAGAAGACASAGACAGACCAAGGGAGCGGGAAGGAGGCTGGACAGAGACGGGACTGCCTGCTGGGATCCCTGTCACTACCTTACACGCACAGGTTGCAGTTACTGCAGGGTTCGGATGGGGATGATGAGGGGGGTCATCCCTGTCTCTTCTCTGGCAAGCAGGAGCACTGACACACAATGAGGTCAAACAATTTAGCCCCAGATTAGGCAGCTTCACCCTCAGCTGCACTTCTGTTCAGGCAATTGACGCCAAATAAGTAAGAATCGTTCACTGCCTGTTGGTAAGTGAAGCTGGAGGCTGAGATTTGGCTTCTTGTCTTATTCATCCACCCAGATAAAACCCCACCATGGCCCCAGGAATCTGCAAAATTGCTCCCTATCACTAAGACACCTTCTGCAGCAAGACTGAAGTGAACCCCAATGCGACCCATSACTAATGTTTATTTAATATTTTGTGGGGTTTTTTTGGCATAAAGCTTCAAAAAAGGAACGTTCAACAACTGCTTCTCAGCAACAAACGCTACACTCCCAGCTCTGGCCAAGCTGCCTAACCCAAAGGTGACCACAGCTAGTCCCAGAGGACACCCATTTTTTTAGTGTTTGGTATTCGGAACCAAAGTGAGTCCCAACAATTACTCTGCTGCTTAGTGCCATCTTTGTAGARGCTCCCCTTTGGAGCTGCGAACACTCACCGCTCTCGCCGCGAGAGCTCCTTGGGTCCATCCAGGTCCAGCTGAGTGACTTTTTTGGTTGTCTGAATTACACGATTTGGATTCTCTATGTCTATCAACCCTTCCACTCCTTTGCGCTTTTGCTAAGGTGGAGGAACAACAGGCARGTTAACAGGAGCTGCAACACCCCAAACTACTGCATCAGAGACAGCTCAAACACATCCCCTCGCACCCCAGAAAGGGTAATTCAAAATCCTGTCACTACCAGGCAGCAAAGCCGCCTAGGAATCAAGCATTTGCAGTCTTTTCAGACACATTTCTGTCCTAGCATTTCACTTACAGAAATGCCTAAGTTACCAGAGATCTACTCCAAGGATAACATACAACCGAGCAAGCTTTTTCTGGCTTCCAAAAATAGTTCTTCCATAAAAACTACTACAGGAAGCTCCCAGAGAGAATTCCATGTCAAGAGTCTGCATCTCCCTCCCATGCCAAGTCGACACGAATGCACAAAGTTGTGCTACCTGATAATCTTCATCATCTTCATCACTCTCATCTGAATCTAAGGATTTCTTCTCTTTTTTGGGGTCTCCTGTTGCTCCTTCGCCCCCTTCCTCTTGCTCCTCTTCTTCCTACAAATTCACAGGCGATTAGAGAAAATGTGTGTTAATAAAAATGCCAACTTTCAGTGAGTTTTAATTTGGAGGGATGAGGCACAGTTCAGAGCGTGGGTGCCTGGCCATGAAGGAACAAGAGCTCATTCTCAGGCCGCTAATGGTGCATCAGCTGCCCCTGCAGATTCCCTCCAAACAGCTCCGCTCTTTGCTCTAAGCAAGAGGCCAGGAAAAAACACTGTAAAAGACAAAATTGGTACTTTACTTTCCCTGTATGAAAGAGCTTCAGGAGACTTTTTGGCCCAGGCTTTCAGTGCACAGTATCTCAGCGATGCTGCTGGAAACTGCACAGATGTTATAAAAGGCTCGACCTGGTCCTAGAGCTAGATAAAAAAATAATCTAGAGAAAAGCCAATTGCCAACCATCACCCAGAATAGTTTATTTGAAAAATTACAGCCTTTTTAGCACAGTTTTTACCAGATGGACCCTAGAAATTAATTTGTAAGTCACTAGAAGATAAGACTAGAAGAACCAACATGGGTGTGAACRTTGTTTTGCCATTACCAAATACTCCTCATCAGAGCAACTGGCAACATGAATGGCTTGGGGACACTAAGAGGAATAATTTGATTAAGTTTTTTAAAGCTTTTCTTAATGAAATAAGGCTAGATGCATCCATCACCATGYGGTATGGATGAAGATAAATAAAAAAGAAATCTTTTCTCAAAGAGTAGTTTTCTGGGTCGAGGAAAAGCAAGGCATGCATTTCAAGTGGGGTCCTGCAGAGGTTTGTTCTGGACCATTTCCAGCTGGTATTTTCATTAGCAGATTGGAAGCAGAGCACACTCATAAAATCCGTGAACGACACCACATTGGCAGGAGCTGGAACCATTTTGGAAAATGGGACCAGAACCACAAGTGGTTTAAGAAATTGGAAAGACAGCGTGAAACCAACAAGGTGGAATCAGAACACAACCCAGGAAGCCTCATTTTGGAAGGAGAAATCTAATACAAAGTTGGAATTTCTGGCTAAGCAGCAAGCTGCACAATCGTCTTGTGTTACAGCTGGTCAAAACATTAAAAAGGAGTCACCAACATGGCTCATAACTGCATGAAAGAGTGGTCTTATTCTGGGAGGTATTCATCAGTATTTCCTACATGGGCTATAATTATCCTGCTGCAGTCAATGCTGTGAGGTTTCAGCTGGAACTGTGTATTCGGGCTCAGGCAGCACTTTCAGAAAGTCACAGATAAATAGCAGTGAATGTGTAATCAGAGCTGTGATAATCTGGGAATAGGAGACAGCAAGAACTGCAAAAAGCAGCCATGCCTTTGATAATACCAGCAAGATAGCTGTGCATGGCAGGGGCAGGAGCTTGTCAGGGCACAGAAACACACCAAAAAAGGGCTTGTGCCAGGAAACTTATCTCTCCCTGCAAGCCATAAGTAAACAAGAAAATCAGGCGTACAGGAAGAAGTCAAAGGA